AAAGGAAAGCAGCTTTTTCGTTAGCAAAACTAGAAGAATGAATGTTGTTAAACAAAAGCGCCGCGTTGCTAGGGCGCGGAATAAGAGGCGCTCAAGGCGCTTCCTCATGAAGCGTTTTGTCGCTATCACAGCCCGCGCTTTCCCAAACATTCCGCCCGCCTTCGGAAGTAAGATTTCCGAATATTCCTGGCTATTTTTCGATGGGTAAGATAAATATCTTGACTATAGGTCGCTTGAAAGTAGAGGTAGCGGTTCGCACAGTGACAACTCTGATTAATCCGTCTTTGCCTGGATGCAATTGAACAACTCGCGCCAGCGGCCACTTAGCTGGGGGGTAACGTTCATCTACGATTAGTACTAAGGAGCCTTCCTTAACTTCCATGTTTGGATGATGCCACTTCGAGATTGCTTGGTATCGTTGAAGGTATTCCGTTTGCCAACGTTTCCAAAAATGTTCGAGTTTTTGGCGGATGAGTTGCCATCTGGTGAGGCGAGAACTGGGTTGGTCGATAAGATTAGGTTCTGGAATCACGGAAGGAGCCTCTCCCATAATGAAATGCCCAGGGGTCAATGCCGCGAAATCATCTGCATCCTCCGTTAGTGGACAAAGGGGCCTAGAATTCAAAACGGCTTCGATTTGAGTCATAAGAGTGGTTAGCTCTTCATATGTGAGTATCGAGTCGCCAATTACTCGAAGAAGATGGAATTTCGACGACTTAACTGCGGCCTCCCATTTGCCTCCAAAGTGAGGTGCTGCAGGTGGAATGAAGTGCCACTTCGTGCCATGATCAGCGAGTCTGGTAGCCAGTTCCTTTAAATCTTGCGAGGCTTGATCAAAGCGTTGTCGTAGTTCTCGATCGGCACCGACAAGATTGGTGCCACAGTCGCTGTGTAGAGTGGCACAGATGCCACGTCGGGCGGTAAATCGCTTGTAGGCTGCAATAAAGGCTTCTGTGGTATAATCGGTGACTACTTCGAGGTGAACGGCAGAGGTGGAGAAGCAAACAAAAACGACCAGATAACCTTTGTAAATTTTTGCGGCTCTTCCTCGCCAAGTCTTTATCGATATTGGTCCCGCATAATCAACTCCCGAATTTAAGAACGGTCGAGAAGGAGTGACTCTTAGCTGTGGGAGCTGACCCATCATTTGTTGCGCTCGATTCTGGCGGTAACGGGCACATTTTATGCACTTTAGAATATGGGAACGGACTGGAACTCGTCCGCCTACAATCCAGTATTTTTGACGGATATGTGCCAACGTCACTTGTGTTCCGCCGTGTAAAGTGCGTAGATGAGCATCCGAAATTATTAAAGTTGAAAGTCGGGATTGACGTGGTAAAATGAAAGGATGTTTGAAGTCAGAATCTAAACTTGCGTGCTGAAGCCGGCCGCCTACTCTAAGAAGACCTTCACCGTCTAAGAATGGCATAAGTTTTATCAGGGAATTTGATTTACATAATTGCTCTCCTCTTGACAATATTCTGATTTCTGACTGAAAGTAGATCCTTTGTACTAGGCGAATCCAAAAAAGGCAACTCTCTTGCAGTTCGAAAGGGGTGAGTGGGTTTGATATCGGCTCTTCATTTAAGCGTCGAAAACGTTTAATTGCGCGTTTACAAGTAGCGGTAATTCGTAAAAGGCGGGTGAGTGAGGAATAACGATCTATGAGATCCCAAGGGAGAATCTGATTGTTACGGAGAGAAACACACACATGTTTGCAATTTTCTTCTAAATCAAAATTTGAAGGAGAGCTAAGATTAAATTGAGGCCAATTGTTGGGCGCTTGGGATAACCACGCCGGTCCCTGCCACCATAAAGAATGCTGTTTGATCTCGTGCGCGCTTATTCCTCTCGATGCACAGTCCGCAGGGTTCTCCTTGCCAGGTACAAAACGCCAGGTAGCGGTGGGTACTAGTTCGTGTATTGCTATGACTCGATTGCGAACGTACTCCTTCCATTTCGCCGGATGGGACGTAATCCAAGTGAGAGCCACGGAAGAGTCCGTCCACAAGTAAATTGAACTATGATTCAGCTCTAATACGTTCCGTACGCAGGATGTTAGACGTGCTAGTATTAATGCGGCATTCAATTCGAGTCGTGGAACGGTAAGCCTTTTTAGTGGAGCTACCTTTGTTTTGGCACAAATGAGATTTATTCGAACTCCCAGATCTTTTGTTTCGACTCGGATGTAGACAACCGCCGCCATCGCGCGCAGGGATGCATCCGAAAATCCGTGTAATTCAATTGAGACAGCGTTGGAGGAGACATAAAGCCATCGCGGAATATCTAATTTACTCAATGCCGATAGCTGCTGTTTGAAATTTATCCAACGATTTTGTAATTCCGATGATAATGGAGTATCCCAGTCTACTTTGGCCAGCCAAAGATCTTGAATGAAAATCTTGGCTTGAACAACTACAGGTGAGATAAGACCTGCGGGGTCGTACAGCTGAGCAACATCCGATAGAGTGGACCTTTTTGTGATACTTTGAGATGTTGACGGCATGCAAGTGAATTTGAGCATGTCAGACTGAGGCTGCCATGTAAGGCCTAACACTTTAGTACGAGAGGAGTCTAATTCTACAGCTGTAGTACTATCCGTTGGTGGCCATGAAAAATCTAATAGATCCTGACAATTACTTTTCCACTTTTGAAGGGGAAATCCGCCCGCCATGCAGAGCTGGCTTACCTGATTTATTATTTCTTTTGCTTCCTCTATTGAATCTGCTCCGCCAAAGATGTCATCAACGTACCGTCCTTTAGTCAATGAGGAGATAGCTTTAGGAAAACGGTGACCTTCGTCTACTATAAGTTGTTGAATAACGCGAAGGGCGAGAAAGGGGGCACAGTTTAATCCATAAGTTACGGTTGTTAATTGATATGGACGTATTTGATTATTCGAATCATACCACATAATGCGTTGCAAGGCTTGATCGCTTTGATGAACAAGTATTTGACGATACATTTTACATATGTCAGATGAGAAAACGTATCGATTCAATCGAAAAAAAAGTAACACGTCGAAGATATTTGACTGTAATTTAGCGCCAGAGTGCAAGATATCATTTAATGATACACCACTGCTTGAGGGGCTGGATCCGTTGAATACTACACGAAGTTTGGTTGTCTGACTATCGCGTAATACTCCATGATGAGGCAAATAGAAGGAGGGAGAAATATGAGCTTCCGACTCTGCAACCGGAATCATGTGACCTAGTGACTCGTATTCATGCAGAAAATCCACATATAATTGGCAATAAGATGGTTCATTCATGAGTCGTTTCTGAATTCTTGTTAGGCATCGAAGTGCTGTGGACGATGAATCTCCCAACAGCGACACAGGAGACTTCAATGGAAGTCGAACTATGTATCGACCGTTTTGATCGCGTGAAACAGTCGAACGGAAATATTCTTCACATTTAGCATCTTCCGGATTCAAAATTTCTGAACTAGAATTTGGGATTTCTTCCTGTTTCCAGAAGTATGTCAATAGATTTTGCAGATCTTTATCAATATAACAATGATAAGTTCCTTTACTTTGTTTATATATTTTAGAATTAACGGGCCCTAAAATTACCCATCCAAACAAAGTTAACTGTGCAACAAGTGACGATGATTCATTCTTTATTAACCCGGGCTTAATGATTTTACTATATGAATCTGCGCCAATAATCATTTGAATCGAACTCGGTTTGCCGAAATGAGGATCTGCTAGCTGTAAATTTCTAAAATGAGCCCAGGATTCATTGTCTACTTCAAAAGACGGTATCTCAGACGTCAATCGCGGAAGGACAAATGCTCGTAATTCACAAGAATCAGAGATATTACTCATTGAATAGAGTTCAACGTGTACCAGGCCCTTAGTACGGCCTGAAAAAGTGCTGCCAATACCGAGGAGAGGTATTGCCGCGGATTGTCGAGGTAACTTTAACAAGTTTACTAATTCCTCCGTCACAAAAGATAGTTCAGACCCTGGATCTAAAAGCAAACGGATAGCAACGAAACTGCCGTCGCATGCCTTGAGTCTCACCTGACATGTAGCAAGTAACGTAAGTTGATGACTAAGAGTTGATTCTGCGTGGCCAATAAAGGGATTTCCTAGTCATTTCTTTTCTGATGCTAATGTTAGCGACGTCGGCGTACTAGTAGTTGAGATTTTTTGATCAGACTTTACCGCTGACTTTGAGAAGGGTCTACGCTCGTCATGCAGAGTGGTATGATGCTTACTGCCGCATCTTTTACAACGACGAGTACTTGGACATTGACTAGCAGCATGTCTCCCTAGGCAATTGAAACATAGATTTAATTTAGCAATGGTGCGTCTACGACGTTCAACGGACTGCGCGATATAAGTGGGGCAGTAAAAAAGAGAATGATTGGACTTGCAAAGGCGGCATTCAGATTCCTCTTTTGACGTGGAAGCGGCAGCAACTAAACTGCGCGACTTTGCATCCGACCTACCTAAAAATCCGAAGGATCGTCCTTTATCTTTATTGGGCTTGCCTGATGTAACGTTAGAAGCTAAACTCTCCCATGCTAGCGTTCGACCGGCGACAAACTCCTCGAACTCTTTTAAAGTGGGATAGGTTGTAGAAGATCCAAGCTTCTCCTCCCAATCCACGCGCGTCTCTTCATCTAACAGACGAGACAGTTGATGGATAAGGAGAGGATCCCATGAACTTGTATTACAGTTCAAAGCTTCTAGAGCTCCCAACGATTCTGTTACTGTTGCCATGAGCGTGTTTAATTCTTGCGGGGATTTTGACTTCACGGGCTTCAATCCTAAAAGTTTGTCTAAATGAGCAGAGATAAGAACTCGTTTATTCTCGTAACGAGTTGCCAAGGTTTTCCATGCAATGCTAAAAGTGGCATCAGAGACCTTCAAATTAGTGACAAGTCGGGCGGCATCACCTGAAAGACACGTCTTTAAATAGTGCATTTTTTCCACGTTAGTTAATTCGTCGTTGCCGCCAATCATAGACATAAAAAGATCGTGAAAAGACCGCCAGGAGTTATAATCGCCGGAAAATGAAGGCAAACTTATTCTCGGTAAATTGCTTCGTCGATTGTTGAATCGTGTGTCTACTCTCTGTGTGTCGGATGCTCGTGAAGAAGGGTGGGAAGCTTCTATCAGTTCCTGTTGTTCTAGCAAAACAGATTTTGCGTGGACGTAGAATTCCTGGCATCTTTCGTACGTACGGTGCTTTATATAAGATGCTTCTTCGATATGACCTAAATTACCGTTACATAATCTGTCATGTTCTGCCTGAAACTTATTCCAATTTGACTCCAGCACTTCAAGTCGAGTGTTTACTATGTGCCGAGAAAGCGTTTCAGATGTTTCGTCCATGATATCTTCGGCGGCATTTTGTATGAGAAGGAAACGATTCATTTGCAAGGCTATTTGAGAGCGCAAGGGATCCATGATTAAATCATATAATAAACCTGAGAAAAAAAGTTTCAATAAGTATTTCGAATGATTTAACACAATCACAAATGTCAATGACAGACGCAACCGACTACCTTTTAAATACTTTTCAATTTAATTTTTACAGCGCCCCGTTTGCTCTATCCGGCTCGAAGGACCAAAAATAATGTACAATTAACTTACGGATTTTAAGAATTAATTGGCGGGGCGTAAAATAAAGCAAATAGAAGACAAATTATCATTAATAAATCTTATATTTAATATATTTGAAACAAAGGTAATATGAATTGAAAATCTATGCTTAACAAATTTTAATAATATTTAACAAGGATATAATGAAGTACTGATCAAGCATGTTGCGTCCGCCATGTCTTCAAGAAAAGAGAGATAGAGAGAGTGAGTAAACGTCCAAGCCGTCATCGAATGACTAGATGCTAGAGCGGTTCCAAGGGAAAGAGAAAGAGAGTTCGCGTCCGAGCCGTCATCGGACGATTGTAAGAAAATGACGCGCTGCTAGGAGCGGTCCCTCGGCAAACCTAGAAAATATCGTAGGTAGCCCTGTCCGAGCCAAGGTCTTCGGACGACTTTTGATGGGAGCGACCCATCGCCTGAGACCGTTCGTCAGGCATTCACATAAAAGATAGAGAGAAAGCCTTTGCGTTAGACGCCCTTTACGAATCAGCGCCAAGTCGCTAATCCGCAATGAATATAAGAATTGCCGCTTACCTGAGGCGCCTTTATAATTTTTAAAGTTATCTCATATTATGTATCTCTATTGTTTTTTTAAAGATTTTAAATGTTAATTTTTAAAAGGGGTACAAATTGAGGAGGAGTGTTAAGAAATGAGCAATTTATACTTTATTTTTATGTTAAGATTTCCATTCTCGTTATTCAATCTTTCATGCTTATGGTTGGCACTTAAAATGTTACTAGAAAGTTGCTTCCCCGTTTTTCGTATGTGTTCTGTTCTGCGCGCGACACTACCTTCTACTTCCGTTGACGAACTTTTGTATCAGCTAACCGAATAAATATCCACGCTTTGTATTTTACAAGAAGTCTGTCTGTTCCTTCTCCGAGAAACCTCTCTGCGTATATCTCAACAGCTTTAAAATGAGATTGATAGATTTTTAAGTCTCGTTTAAAATCAAGAAGTGTTGGTGCAACCGGGCCTTAGAGCCCAAACACACACTTTTGCATAACGCATAAACCATATACATAAAGAATTTGATTGGTCCATTGACTCATGCATAAGAAAATGGGCAAATAAAATTCCTTATGCACATGCTTTATGCTTTATGCAAAAGTGTGTTGGGGCTCTTAGGCGAGAAACACACACTTTTACATAACGCATAAAGCATGTGCATAAGGAATTTTATTGGTCCATTTTCTTATGCATGAGTCAATGGAGCAATCAAATTCAATCAAAAGTGTGTGTTGGGGCTCTTAGGCGAGAAACACACACTTTTGCATAACGCATAAAGCATGTGCATAAGGAATTTCATTGGCCCATTTTCTTATGCATGAGTCAATGAACCAATCAAATTCTTTATGTATATGGTTTATGCTAGAGAACCTCTAGTAGAAAGAATCGCCAACTTGGTCACGTGACCAATTACGTGATTGGCTGGAGGAAATGAGCAGATTTGGGCATCTCGACACCAATGCATGACGTCACAACACATGGCGGCCATACCGTTCGCGATGAAATATTTACGTCCCGATTATGGTCCGGGGTCCGGGAACGCCGTCGGGGTAGAGAACCTCTAGTAGAGAGAATCGCCAACTTGGTCACGTGACCAATTACGTGATTGGCTGGAGGAAATGAGCAGATTTGGGCATTTCGACACCAATGCATGACGTCAGAACACATGGCGGCC